GTGGATGAGGGGCGTAGAGGTAACATTTGGATGAGTGGAGTAAAGGTAAGCTGTGAATGAGGGGCGTAGAGGTGAGCTGTGGATGAGGGGTGTAGAGGTGAGCTGTGGATGGGGGTGCAGAGGTGAGCTGTGGACAGAGGTGAGCTGTGGATGAGGGGTGTAGAGGTGAGCTGTGGATGAGGGTGCAGAGGTAAGCTGTGGATGAGTGAAGTAGAGGTAAGCTGTGAATGAGGGGCGTAGAGGTGAGCTGTGGATGAGGGGCGTAGAGGTGAGCTGTGAATGAGGGGCGTAGAGGTGAGCTGTGGATGGGGGTGCAGAGGTGAGCTGTGCACAGAGGTGAGCTGTGGATGAGGGGTGTAGACGTGAGCTGTGGATGAGGGGTGTAGAGGTGAGCTGTGGATGAGGGGTGTAGACGTGAGCTGTGGATGAGGGGAGTAGAGGTGAGCTGTGGATGGGGGTGCAGAGGTGAGCTGTGGATGAGGGGCGTAGAGGTAAAAATTGGGATGAGTGGAGTAGAGGTAAGCTGTGAATGAGGGGCGTAGAGGTGAGCTGTGGATGGGGGTGCAGAGGTGAGCTGTGAATGAGGGGCATAGAGGTGATCTGTGCATGAGTGGAGTAGAGGTAAGCTGTGAATGAGGGGCGTAGAGGTGAGCTGTGAATGAGGGGCGTAGAGGTGAGCTGTGGATGAGGGTTGTAGAGGTGAGCTGTGGATGAGGGTGCAGAGGTGAGCTGTGGACAGAGGTGAGCTGTGGATGAGGGGTGTAGAGGTGAGCTGTGGATGAGGGGTGTAGTAGAGGAGAGCTGTGGATGAGGGGTATAGACGTGAGCTGTGGATGAGGGGAGTAGAGGTGAGCTGTGGATGAGGGGAGTAGAGGTGAGCAGTGGATGAGGGGTGTAGATGTGAGCTGTGGATGAGGGGCGTAGAGGTGAGCTGTGGATGAGGGGTGTAGAGGCGAGCTGTGAATGAGGGGCGTAGAGGTGAGCTGTGGATGAAGGGTGCAGAGGCGAGCTGTGAATGAGGGGCGTAGAGGTGAGCTGTGGATGAGGGGCATAGAGGCGAGCTGTGGATGAAGGTTGTAGAGGTCAGCAATGGATAAGGTTGCAGAGGTGAGCTGTAGAAGATGGTGTAGAGGTAAGCTGTGAATAGAGGTGCAGACATGAGCTGTGGATGAGGTGGTGCAGGTGAGTGATGAGGCAGAGAGATGGCAGTGAAGTTCATGAAATGTTTGTCAATAGACAAATGAGATGATGGTGGTGAAGTTGTTGGTGAAGTTGGGGAGGTGTTGAATGGACAGATGGATGATGGGAAAGTAGGTAAGACTTTGGTGAATAGTCATATGAGATGGCAATAAAGTCATGAGACATTGGTGAATAGACAGATTAAGTGGCAGTGCAGTCAATGTGACTTTGGTGAATAGACAGATGAGATGGCGGTGAAGTCGGTGAGATGGTGAATAGACAGATGAGATGGTGGTGGTGTCGATGAGACATTGGTGAATAGACAGATGAGATGGCGGTGAAGAGTCGGTCAGACGTTGGTGAATAGACAGATGAGATGGTGGTGAAGTCCGTGAGACATTGGTGAATAGACAGATGAGATGTGGTGAAGTCGGTGAGACGTTGGTGAATAGACAGATGAGATGGCGGTGAAGTCGGTGAGACGTTGGTGAATAAACAGATGAGATGTGGTGAAGTCAGAGAGACGTTGGTGAATAAACAGATGAGATGTGGTGAAGTCAGAGAGACGTTGGTGAATAGACAAATGAGATGGTGGTGAAGTCCGTGAGACATTGGTGAATAGACAGATGAGATGTGGTGAAGTCAGAGAGACGTTGGTGAATAAACAGATGAGATGTGGTGAAGTCAGTGAGACGTTGGTGAATAAACAGATGAGATGTGGTGAAGTCAGTGAGACGTTGGTGAATAGAGAGATGAGATGGCAGTGAAGTCGGTAAGACGGTGAATAGACAGATAAGATGGCGGTGAAGTCAATGAGACGTTGGTGAATAGACAGATAAGATAGTTGTGAAGTCGGTGAGACATTGGTGAATAGACAATTGAGATGGCGGTGAAGTCGGTGAGACGTTGGTGAACAGACAGATGAGATGGCAGTGAAGTCGGAAAGACGTTGGTGAATAGACAGATGAGATGGCGGTGAAGTCGATGAGACGGTGAATAGACAGATGAGATTGTGGTGAAGTCGGTGAGACCTTGGTGAATAGACAGATGAGATGGCGGTGAAGTCAGTGAGATGTTGGTGAATAGACAGATGAGATGGCGGTGAATTCGATGAGACGGTGAATAGATAGATAGATGAGATTGTGGTGAAGTCGGTGAGACATTGGTGAATAGACATGAGATGGCAGTGAAATCGATGAGACGATGGTGAATAGTCAGATGAAATGGTGATGAAGTCGGTGAGACATTGGTGAATAGACAGATTAGATGGTGGTGAAGTCGGTGAGATGTTGATGAATAGACAGATGAGATGGTGGTGAAGTCGGTGAGACATTGGTGAATAGACAATTGAGATGGCAGTGAAGTCTGTGAGATGTTGGTGTATAGACAGATGAGATGGCGGTGAAGTCGGACAGATGAGATGGCGGTGAAGTCGGTGAGAAGTTGGTGAATAGACAGCAGAAATGACGGTGAAGTCGGTAAGTCGTTGGCATTGGGTTGCGGCAAGGTAAAGAAAAGTGAAATTGTTGATAATTCAGAATTTGCTCGGCAGGCACTCGGAGAAATAAGAGCTCTGATTAGAGTGGGCGGCAGACAAATACAGCCAACAATTAGCCAGAATAAAAACCCGGCAGGACACAGATGGAGAGAGCGAAGGAGAGTGGGAGGAAAGAAAACACAAAATAGGCTCCTGGGCTCCTGGCCCCGGCTTACAACCTGTGGGGGGCCCCTAGAACTATTCACAGCCAAGAACATCATCGGGGGCTCTGGGGACACAATGCAAAAAACATCATACAGAAGGGCTGGAGCAAACGTGTGCCATAGTCACATGTCTGCCGCTGTGCGTCATTGAAGAGAGCGAGGGAGAATGGAAGATTTTTTTTTCATCTGCTCATTGAGTCAATCCACCGAAAAACATATTTTATGTATAGGTGGAGCATAGGTAGCTGAGTAACAGATTTTTCCATGTGCTGTGATCTTCCTGCCATAAAAATACACAAGGGATGGTGGGAACCCCTTATAATGGGCACAGCAGGTGTACAGACCCAGGAACTCAGCACGGGGATGGTGGGAACCCCTCATAATGGGCACTGTAACCAGCATACACACAGTGAAGGACGCAGCCTCCGTTTTGTTAATAGTATCCATGTTATTCCCTCATTCTTTCCCCCGCTCCCTCTCTGAGAGGCACAGTGACATATGGCAGCGCGTTTGTGTGTGTTAAAAGTGTCACAGGCCAGAGCCCAGCAGGGGGGCTATGTGCTATAGGACCCCCAAGGGAGCCGGGGCCTAGCTGTCCAAAGAACCTGTGCAATTTAACACCTCGTATAAGGTAAGGCAAGCTTTCCCGGAGTTCAAAGAACATTCCAAGGAAACACAACCAGATAACCTCTGTTAAAATCCCTTTTCCCCTATGTCTCATATCTTGGAATATGAGAGACTTACATAAAAACTGGACATATCGTCAGATTGGCCACGAGAAGACGAACAGTTTGGTAGGTCACTCGTCTTGTCTCAAATACATAGAAAAGTAGATCTCGTGAACCAGGCAGTGTATAATTTCATATTTTATATCTAATCAATCCTCAGACGTGTCTGCATAATAATCTACCGGCGGGTGGAATGTCACTTGTGCAGATGGAAAGTTATGGGCCAAAATATGAGTTAGGGGAGATTTTGGCTCTAGTTGAGGTATCCGCCCAGACCTCCACGCCCTAAACTGGGTATTGGTCCTTGACTTCAGAGACACCCCCTGCTGGGGAACTACAAAATGGACTGTCAGGCCTAAGAAAGTTAAGTTAAAGACGTCTCCCATTTTAACATCAGTACCACCTGGGGCGACCCATGCCCTTTCACTCTGAAACTTGGAACTGCTAACCCAGGACTTTGGCAAGTACCTTAACCCTTTCACCTCTCTCTGATATCTCTTTGCTGTGCTGTTAGTCTCTGTATATTTATATACATATCTTAGTTACATCTTTTTCTGTAAATATTTTTATTGCACCCGTTTGACCTTTTAGTAATAAATCTTTCTTTCTGAAAGTGTTGAACTGTTTCTATAGCTCTTTATTGTAATTTACGAATTCCTGCCTCTAAAGAGAACGCTACTGTGTTTGTTTAACCCTCTGTATAACCAGCCTGTGGTGACCGTTTTATACAGACGATTATCTCAACCATTATAGTGTTATAGCTGATATCACAGAGTTTCCTCTTTCTCTTTACAAAAAGCAGGTGGTGGCAGTGTGAAGGGTTAATTGCGTAATTAACCTGACCCAGTAGCAATCGCATTCAGGCTGCCGGTGCATCTATTGTTGTCCAATTAGCTGGAAAATCGTTGTGCAGGGTGCGGCTGGGTGTGGCATTTTTACGCACGTGACATCGCGGTTTTAGATTGGCTAGTCCTTCGGTCACGAGTTTGGTGAGAATGGCTGGGGCCTGACGCCGCGTTTGTCACATATTGGTGACAGCGATCGTGGGATCGTCACATAGTGGTGGCAGCAATCCCACGTCCGTCACAGGCACATCAGGTGTAAATACCCTGGAACTCAGCACAGAGATGGTGGGAACCCCTCATAATGGGCACAGTGGGTGTACAGACTCAGGAAATCAGCACAGGGATGGCGGGAACTCTCCTCATAATGGGCACAGCAGGTGTACAGACTCAGGAAATCAGCACAGGGATGGCGGGAACCCCTCATAAATGGCACAGCAGGTGTACAGACCTGGGAACTCAGCACAGGGATGGTAGGAACCCCTCATATTGGGCACAGTGGATGTACAGACCTGGGAACTCAGCATAGGGATGGTAGGAACCCCTCATAATGGGCACAGCGGGTGTACAGACCCAGGAACTCAGCACAGCGTTGGTGGGAACCCCTCATAATGGGCACAGCGGGTGGACAGACCCAGAAACTCAGCACAGGGATGGTGGGAACCCCTCATAATGGGCACAGCAGGTGTACAGCCCGGGAACTCAACACAGGGATGGTGGGAACCCCTCATAATGGGTACAGTGGGTGTACATACCTGGGTATCCCCTCCCACCTCTGACTGCAAAGAGGTCCTGTCACTTCCTCACATCCCATTGTGGTCCCTGAAATTCATGCAGCACCACGTTTAAGAGCTGGCAGATCTATTCTGGAGGAGAAGTCACAAGTCATTGTCTTCATACGCATCAAAAGACTGGAAAAACATTCTCTGTACTGCAATTATCTAAAAAAATATTGTATTGGATTCAAGTTCTGTGTCTTATTGCAGAGGTATACTGCCTGTGGATGGTGCCAAGCCAGCAAGTGACCGTACTGTTCTACTGACACTGGGCCCAAGGTGGTATGTCAATGCATTCGGCAGCATTGGAAACAAAACACTAGGATTGGCAGGACTGTGTAGCTTTGAACACAGGGCCCATTTACTTTGTGTTAAGGCAGCACATTCACAATGAATGGATTACCAACGCACCCTAACGTGCCTAAAATCACAAGAGCCCATTTTTTTGTAATGCAATGCATGGCAACACACTACAATGCATTACTGTGCATTGTGGCACGCTACAAACACAAGTACGCTGGGGTGTTGTGAAAGGGCCCTTTAATTGGGCTGTAACTTCCATCAGGTTCTTTTATTTTGTAGAGCACCAAGCAAACCATCATGATCCAAGACTGCAGCCAAAGTCAGGGTTCCCCTCCCCCATCCTGGGAGAGAAATACATCATACATACACCATATTGTCAAACGTATTGGTTGGCCTGCCTTTCCACGCATATGACCTTTAATGGCCTCCCAGTCTTAGTCCGTAGGGTTCAATATTGAGTTGGCCCCGCCCTTTGTAGCTATAACAGCTTCAACTCTTCTGGGAAGGCCGTCCACAAGGTTTAGGAGGGTGTCTATGGGAAGGTTGGACCATTCTTCCAGAAGCACATTTGTCAGGTCAGGCACTGATGTCGGGGGAGGAGGCCTGGCTCACAGTCTCTGCTCTAATTCATCCCAAAGGTGTTCCATGGGGTTGAGGTCAGGACTCTGTGCAGGCCAGTCAAGTTCCTCCACCCCAAACTGGCTTCCTCCATGTCTTTATGGACCTTGCTTTGTACACTGGTGTGCAGTCATGTTGGAACAGGAAGGGGCCATCCCCAAACTCTTCCCACAAAGTTGGGAGCATGAAAAAAGTCTTGGTATGCTGCCTGACGCCTTAAGTGTTCCCTTCACTGGAACTAGGGGACCAACCCAACCCCTGAAAAACAACCCCCCACCATAATCCCCCCTCCACCAAACTTTACACTTGGCACAATGCAGTCAGGCAAGCACTGTTCTCCTGGCCACCGCCAAACCCAGACTTATCCATCAGATTGGCAGACAGAGAAGCGTGATTGGTCACTCCAGAGAACATGTCTCCACTGCTCTAGAGTCCAGTGGCGGCGTGCTTTACACCACAGCATTCAACGCTTTGCATTGCACTTGGTGATGTAAGGCTTGGATGCAGCTGCTCGGCCATGGAAACCCATTCCATGAAGCTCTCTACGCACTGTTGTTGGGCTCATCTGAAGGCCACACCAAGTTTGGAGGTCTTTAGCTATTGACTCTGCAGACAGTTGGTGACTTCTGCGCACTGTGCGCTTCAGCATGCGCTGACCCCGCTCTGTCATGTGACGTGGCCTACCACTTGGTGGCTGAGTTGCTGTTGTTCCCAGTTGCTTCCACTTTGTTATAATCCCACTAACAGTTGAGCGTGGAATATTTAGTAGCCAGGAAATGTCACGGATGCACAGGTGACCACCTATCACGGGACCACGCTTGGAGTCACTGAGCTCCTGAGAGCGACCCATTCTTTCACCAATGTTTGTAGAAGCAGTCTGCATGCCTAGGGGCTTGATTGTATACACCTGTGGCCATGGAGGTGATTGGAACACCTGAATCACATGATTTGGAGGACGGGCCCAATACTTTTTTGGCAATATAGTGTATATAATACTGCATAAAATATGACCTCCTAATAGAATGCAACACAATATATACAATACAGTATATGTAAACACTGGTAAGGAAACTCCTGCAATTAATACATTAATAAATAAAACTACATACCTGAGAGCCAGTTTCAGTGCTGAGATTAGAAATCAAGCCTATAAAGGTGATTCAGCGAGCGCTAAGATGATGAGAACATAAGCTGCTGATACACTACAAGGAAACCATATAACCTCTTGAATATATACAATATGAAAAAGTGCAGCACTAATAAACAAATTAAATGTGCTATATTAGAGACTGGCCACACCCTCAAATAGACAGTATGAAGTCCATAGGAACAATGTCCGGTAAATGACAAATGGATGAAATGGTGACTTTGTTACTCCCAGTGAGGCACTCGTCAAAACCGTGAAGGAAATATAAGAAATGCGCACTCACCAGATGCGCATTAGGTAAGCGCAATATTAATAGCCAGAGGTCCCCTCTTATCCTGTGGAAGGTGCAGTTCACACTGGACAGGCTGTCCCACAATACTGGCGCCTCGAGAGATCTTCTCTACTGGTGGAAGCTTATATGAGTTATTTTCCTCTGGGCCTCAGGGTGGTCACCATATGGTCCTGGGGGGTTAAATGCTCGATGTGGAGCAGAGAATAGTGGCCATAGTGTAGTAGGTCAAAATATAAATTATTTTTTATTAATGGTTAAAAGTGATGAACATACATAAAAGCAAATGGAGGCTTTCGCCAATGAAATGTAGACAAAGCATGCAGCGAAAACGTTCATAAACCATTTAGAAAAACTGACCAGCTGGATAGTTGTGGGGGCCACCGGACCTCCTTGATCCGGAGGGCGTGACGTCTCAGGCGTGTATGGCTCCTCCTTAACACGTTTCGCACACAAAGTGCATCCTCAGAAGGGGTGATGCCAAAGGCACAAATTTGATGTATTTTTCTTCATGTTTTGATTTGGAATAGAATGTGTCGTGTTCCCAATGCATTTGTGTGGATGGAAATAAAAGCTATTAGAAGGATTTTCAGCTTTATTCACTTTTTTCAACAGACTGCTATTATTTTGAACACAACTGTATATGTATTGTATATACCTATTCCTTCTTACCTCCCTTCATACCTACAGTATATAGCCAGTTTGTTCCCCAAAAGCATACTCTCAAGCCCAGTGTTCCAGCAGTGTTCTCTAGTCGCAGCTCATATTCGAACATCAGCTTTCACTTCAGGGGTTGTGCAATGGCCCCATGATGATGTGCACATATGTTGCGTCATAAAGGGGCATATCCAAAGGCCATTAATGGACAGCCAGGCCCCTAATAACATGGTACATGTGCCATAGAGTACCCCACTGCCTCCTTAGACCTGTGACATGTGTATGCCAGGAGGCTGCAGGCACAGTAGATTAAGGGTTAATAACAGTGGTTGGGATGATGAGACCCCATGTAGAGGAGAAGAGGAGCCAGTAAAGGATTAATAACACTGGCAGGCATAGTGAGAAATCATGTAGAGGAGAAGGGCCATAAGAGGGTTATTAACAGTAATTGGCATGGTGAGACCCTATGTAGAGTAGAAGAGGGGCCAGCAAAGAGTTAATAACAGTGGTTGGGATGGTGAGACCCCATGTAGAGGAGGAGAAGAGGAGTCAGTAAAGGGTTAATAACAGTGGCCAGGATGGTGAGACATCATGCAGAGGAGAAGAGGGGCCAGTAAAGGGTTAATAACAGTGGTTGGGATGGTGAGACCCCATGTATAGGAGGAGAAGAGGAGCCAGTAAAGGGTTAACAGTGGCCAGGATGGTGAGACATCATGCAGAGGAGAAGAGGGACCAGTAAAGGGTTAATAACAGTGGCTAGGATGGTGAGACATCATGCAGAGGAGAAGAGAGGCCAGTAAAGAGTTAATAACAGTGGTTGGGATGGTGAGACCCCATGTATAGGAGGAGAAGAGGAGCCAGTAAAGGGTTAATAACAGTGGTTGGGATGGTGAGACATCATGCAGAGGAGAAGAGGGGCCAGTAAAGGGGTTAATAACAGTGGTTGGAATGGTGAGACCTCATGTAGAGCAAGAGAAGAGGGGCCAGGAAAGGGTTAATAAAAGTGGTTGGGATGGTGAGACCCCATGTAGAGGAGGAGAAGAGGGGCCAGTAAAGGGTTAATAACAGTGGCTAGGATGGTGAGACATCTGCAAAGGAGAAGAGGGGCCAGTAAAGGGTTAATAACAGTGGTTGGGATGGTGAGACCTCATGTAGAGCAAGAGAAGAGGGGCCAGTAAAGGGTTAATAACAGTGGCCAGGATTGTGAGACATCATGCAGAGGAGAAGAGGGGTCAGTAAAGGGTTAGTAACATAAGTCGGTATAGTGAGACGTAATATAGCAGAGGGGAAAAGAGGGACCAGTAAAGGGTTAATAACACTGGCCGGCATAGTGAGAAATCATGTAGAGGAGAAAAATCACCATAAGAGGGTTATTTACAGTAATTGGCATGGTGAGACGCTATGAAGAGTAGAAAAGGGGCTAGTAAAGGGTTAATAACAGTGGTTGGGATGGTGAGACCCCATGTAGAGGAGGAGAAGAGGGGCCAGTAAAGGGTTAATAACAGTGGTCAGGATGGTGAGACCTCATGTAGAGCAGGAGAAGAGGGCCAGTAAAGGGTTAATAACAGTGGTTGGGATGGTGAGACCCCATGTAGAGGAGGTGAAGAGGGGCCAGTAAAGGGTTAATAACAGTGGTCAGGATGATGAGATCTCATGTAGAGCATGAGAACAGGGGCCAGTAAAGGGTTAATAACAGTGGCCAGAATGGTGAGACATCATGCACAGGAGAAGAGGGGCCAGTAAAGGGTTAATAACAGTTGTCGGGATGGTGAGACCTCATGTAGAGCAGGAGAAGAGGGCCAGTAAAGGGTTAATAAGAGTGGTTGGAATGGTGAGACGCCATGTAGAGGAGGAGAAGAGGGGCCAGTAAAGGGTTAATAACAGTAGCCAGGATG